TTCCACAGTTCCTCCAAAGTCCTTGTAGGAGACCATGTGCTTATTCTGATTAGGATTATTGCCTAATAAATATTTGTAGCTCATGCTTTATAATTGATTATTGTTATAAGCCTAGACTGAAGGTGTAAAAATCTATATATTCTCATGATTGACAAATTCTTATTTTGTGAAGGTAGATTTGACTGTTTGAAATAGTTTAAAGTCACCTAAAACTAAGCTTGAAGAATAAGGCAGCCATTAATGACCTAGTTTCCTGAATCAACTACACAATTCTAATGGCAATTTTAAAAATTAGGTGAATTCTTTCCAATGTCTTCCTTTTGTAATATTTTCTCTGTATTTATTAAACTAATACGTGTGCATCAGTTTCTTCCTTTTGACAGTGTGTCAGGAAGTAGATGGAACAACTTTGGTCTTGATTCTCAAGGTAAGAAAACATTTAAGATCAGGTTTAATCTCCTAATTGTTGGCCATTTGCCTGAAAAGACTAAAGAAAGAACAATAGCAAAATGTTCCTTTGGGTTATTGGTAAAAATAATTTAAAAAAATTTTTTTTGTAAAAATAATTTGTGGGGCTGAGACAAGGAACAGACTATAGGGCCTACATTCTTATTTAGGCTGTAAAATATCCTGAAGTCTCTTCCTGCGTAGTTATTCTCAGCCTTCTCTATGTTTTTGGTCTCATAGTGGACAACAACACTAGCACATCACACTCTTTGAGGCAGGCACTTTCAACCCGGATGGCTGTTCTTATTGGTGAGTCAGGAAAGAACAGGTTTTAATCAAAGTACAGGGTTTATTAAGGTTACTTTAGCTATCTCCAGAACCTGACAGAAATCTATTCTAGCGTAGTACACAGAGAGAGTGAAAGAAAAATCTATTGTCAGTCGCATCTTTTCATTTATCCCAACAACTCCTCCCACTTTCCTTTGAGTGTGTCTTGCTGTTTGAGATTCCTTCACTCCAGTTTTGTTAATGTCTTTTGGACTTGACATTCTGCTCTACATATTTACTTTATTCACTAGGGTTTCTAGAGCCTGAGAAGTATGGTATGAAATGAAATTAGCCAGACTGTGTCAGTCATAATGTGTGTAAATACAAGACATAAATATTGCATTGCAATATGTTAGCTGTCTCATCAATTTGTTGGTGGCCTCTCTGAGGCCATCTATTTGGAGTGTGAAGACCCACAGTCTTAAATCTGAACTCATTTAACAGGAGCTCATTTTAACAAGTATTTTTCTTGCTCACAGGCTTGTTCAATCTTATTTCAAAATCTGAGACTCCGTAGTATACCTACCAGATCTCAGGCTGCTTTAGAATTGATAGTCAAAAGTTGTATGCTGGCTCGGCACCTATAGCTCAACCGGCTAAGGTGCCAGCCACGTACACCTAAGGTGGCGGGTTCGAATCCCCAGCCCGGACCCGCCAAAACAACAATGATGGCTGCAACCAAAAAATAGCCGGGCGTTGTGGCAGGCGCCTGTGGTCCCAGCTACTTGGGAGGCTGAGGCAGGAGACTCGCTTGAGCCCAGGAGTTGGAGGTTGCTGTGAGCTGTAATGCCACAGCACTCTAACCAGGGGGACAGCTTGAGGCTCTGTCTCAAAAAAAAAAAAAAAAAAAAAAAAAAAAAAGTTGTATGCTTTCTGATTTTCAAAATGGCTTCTAAAGATTCTGATTCAGAGACTTTAAGAAGAACTGACCAACCAAGGTTCAAAGCATAATTTTCAAAAAGTTAAAATATGACTGGCATACAAGCACTGGAAAAGCTTATGAACAGTGTATAGCTAGCTTATGTATAGATCATAATGATTTAGTGACATATATGGTGACATATATAAGACATTATTAATTTGTTAATGAAGGACAAACAGGAGATGACAAATTAGGTCAGAGGAGGATATATAAGAATAATATATGTATTCAGTCAAGGAAAAGAAGACTGAAAAATTAAATTAAAAATGGTTAGTATCCTGTTAGGCAGTACAATCATAACTTTTGAGTTTTTTTTTTTTTCCCTACTGGAAATAATTTATTTGAATTTAAACTAGACAAAACTTTATCAATTTATTAATCTTCTACAAGTGAACATCTAACTTCACACAATCTGGACCCAGTAAAAAGTAAATATTAAGTTGAAGTTGTTTGTACTTAGAGCTGTGCTGTCCATTGGGGTAGCTACTAGCTACATGTGGTTGCTGAGAACTTGAAATGTGGCTAGTCTGAATTGAAATGTTCTACAAAAGTGAAATACACACCAGATTTTGAAAATTTACCATTAAAAAAATAAACATTCTCATTTGTAATAATATTGGTTGTATATCGAAGTGATAATATTTTAGGTACTTTAAGTTAAATAAAACATATCATTAATATTAATTCCACCCGTTTCTTTTTATTTTTTGCAAATATGATTACTAGACAATTAAAAATTACATGTGGCTCACATTCTATGGTATTGTCTAATATTGCCTTATAGCATCAGAGCAATCAGAGGCTTTTTAGACAATTCTCTAATATGGTTTGGAAGGATGTAAGAAATATATTTGTCTTGCTTTTAAGTTTTATGTAACTTTTATCAACACAAGTTACAAGGGATCTGGAGAAGGGTTACTCATTTCTCTGCCTTCTGGCCTCTACCATGCTGCCAGGAGCTTGGGGGGCAATTTTTGAGGTGGTTGGCTGCCCTTGTGGCTTGGCGGTCTGGACTTCAGATTTGCCCCTTAAGAGATGTGATTTGATTGATTTGACTTGAACGATAATATTAAAAAACTGAGTACTCATAATCAAATTTACATGTCTATGATGTATATATAAACCAAGACGGCAATTTGTAATCAAGACTCCACTCAGCAGTTTTCCTGGTGGATATAATCACTTAGCTAAATTTCAGATGAGGAGGTAGCTCGTTTACACATAGAATCAGAGCAAAATGACATGTTCTTATTTTATTCCTTTTACTAAAATATATTAGCACAATGGAGGTGCTTCAGTTGTTTGAATACTTTCAATAATTTATAACAATTCCCATACTCAAAGTCACTCTGAGAGATGGCCAGTCTAAAATGCTTTTCTATAGCTGCTAATTCATCCATCACTAATCTCATTAGACTGTTAATTCCCAAAGGACAGGAGCAGGAGGAGACACTGTTTCCAAATGTTGAACAAATGTTATTTAATAAAACTGTAGGGGGTCATCCCTAGTCTACAAGATGCTTTATTCTTCATTCATCATTGAACTTAATCTGTATAATCTCTTTTGACTTTACCACAATCTAAAGCTGACATCTTTACCACATATTTTCATGGAACCATATTTCTGAACAAGAATTTTTGGTGAGTTGTAATACTTTCTTTGTACCTAAATATATCATTATATTAAATATATGAGCAGAAAGTTTACCTTATCTTTTCTCCCAAGGGATTAAATTGCAATTACTTGAAGCCAAAAAGTGAAATATAAACTAGCAAACCTTAAAGCAGTAGGACAAAATTTAGAATAGTTTTGGAAGGGATAAGAGGAGGTAATATTAAGCTCATCAACAGCAGATGATATAATTTATGTATTCTAGTACTTTTCCTGCTTTTTTGTTTAAATTTTTGATATATATATATGTATGTATTTTTTTCTCTATTTCAAATTGGTGGTCCATCTTATGTCAAAAGTGTGTTTTATTAAAGCCAGCTGTTGGGAGGTGCCTGTGGCTCAGTGCGTAGGGCGCCAGCCCCATATATTGTGGGTGGGGGGTTCAAACCTGTCCCCGGCCAAACTGCAACCCCCCCCCCCCCAAAAATAATTATAGCCGGGCGTTGTGGCAAGTGCCTGTAGTCCCAGCTGAGGCAAGAAAATCGCCTAAGCCCAGGAGTTGGAGGTTGCTGTGAGCTGTGATGCCGTTGCACTCTACTGAGGGTGATAGAGTGAGACTCTGTCTCCAAATAAATAAATAAAGCCAGTTGTTTTATTTCTATCTATACCTTTGAGTTGCCAGTTAGAGATTGTCCTTCTGTATGGTGACACATATAAGACATTATTACTAAAGTAACCTATAATTTTCATGGGCTTTAGTTCACCTTTATATTGCAGCTTCAAAAAAAGTTTGTTTTCTTAGAAAACAGATCACAATGTCCCTAGTTGTCAAGTCTATCGGATGTCCTTTGAAGGCTTAAGGGATCTCCCTTTTTTCCTTATCATCCATCTTCTTGAGGGCCAGACCCCCTGCCTTGCACAACTCAGAGGGGGATCTCAGGGCTTTTTAAAAGCAGCCCAATTTCTCGCCTTTGGAGAAGTGAAAAGGATGCCCCGCCCCCGCTATGAAAAGAGGGATTTGATAAAGATTTTCAATGTCTTCAAATAAAAGATTTAAAGACTCTCACTCCCCGCTACCCTGGACCCCCCACCTAAGGCTTATGAACCCCCTCCCGTCTCACTCTAACTACTTTGGACTGGCTCTGGAATACTTGTCCCAGTTCATAGTTCTTGCGGGTCTGTACGTAGAATTCACAGAGGACCTGTGTTACTTCCCTTGCGAAGAAACAGAATTATCGTGAATATTTAGGTGGAAAATATTTCGGTTTTGTCCCCAAAATAAGAGAAGCATGTCCCCAACCACCCCTGCAAGAAAGAACGTTCAGGGGCAAAGGAGCGAACAGGTAATTTAGTAGAAAAACAGAAAGTGGTCTCTGACCGCCTTGGACTTCCTTAGTAGTTGGGGGAATTGGAGGTATCTGGACGCGTTATCTATGTGGTTATAAGGGAAAAAAATGGAGAGCACGAAGCCTGAGGCTTCTCAGATTCTTTTCTGACCAAACTCAGGCGATTTGGTGCGGGACATTTTAATATTTTCCCCCTTTTGTGAGGTGGAACAAACACAACTTGGGTGCAGCGCAGCGGCTCAGAGGCTGCCAGGCAGGCGGGCGACCAGAGCACCAATCAGCGCGCGCCTGCGCTCTATATATACGGCGGCCCTGCCCAAGCGCCGCTCCATCGGCGTTTTGCCACTTGTACCCGAGTTGTTGATCTTCAATATGTCGGAGACTGCTCCTGCCGCTCCTGCTGCCGCACCCTCGGTGGAAAAGGCTCCGGTAAAGAAGAAGGCGACCAAAAAGCCTGCCGGGGCGCGCCGCAAGGCGTCCGGCCCGCCGGTATCAGAGCTCATCACCAAGGCAGTGGCCGCTTCCAAAGAGCGCAGCGGTGTGTCTTTGGCTGCGCTCAAGAAGGCCTTGGCGGCTGTTGGCTATGACGTGGAGAAGAACAACAGTCGTATCAAGCTTGGTCTCAAGAGTCTAGTAAGCAAAGGTACTCTGGTGCAAACCAAGGGCACTGGCGCTTCTGGCTCTTTCAAACTCAACAAGAAGGCGGCTGCTGGGGAAGCTAAACCTAAAGCAAAGAAGGCGGGCGCAGCCAAGCCCAAGAAACCCGCTGGGGCAGCCAAGAAGCCCAAGAAAGCTACTGGAGCTGCCACCCCGAAAAAGAGTGCCAAGAAGACTCCAAAGAAGGCAAAGAAGCCAGCGGCAGCTGCTGTGACCAAGAAAGTCGCCAAGAGTCCGAAGAAGGCTAAGGTTGCCAAGCCCAAGAAGGCAGCGAAGAGTGCAGCTAAGACCGTGAAGCCCAAGGCTGCCAAACCCAAGGTTGTCAAGCCTAAGAAGGCGGCACCCAAGAAGAAGTAGGCTGAACGTCTGCTTCTAAAACCCAAAAGGCTCTTTTCAGAGCCACCACTGACCTCAAAAAGAGCTCAACATGTATCTGCTAGAGGTACAAATGTACGGGAGTAAGGATTACAGTTTATACTGTAATCAGGCGGGAGGAAATAGCTGGAGGGAGGTTACATAAGGCGTTAACCCACCCCTAGGAGATATCCCGTGCTTGGCTATTACGTACTCTGCGTATCCTGGTCAGCTGTTCGGAGTCGTTTTCCGCTGGCTGCTGTACCTTGGATAGCCGCCAGTACCGCCCCGGGCCTGTGAACTGCAAAGAAGTACAAAACAAGCTCTAAGTCCTAAAGGGTATTCTATTGGACTAGAAAGTAATTTAAAAGTCCCGCCCTGCTCTCCGATTGGCTCACTTTTCCAGCAGAGGACCTTATCTCTAAATTTATTTCGGTGGTGGTGTTTATTCTCCTATGCTTTGGCTTCAGTGGAGCTTAAAGTTTGGCCTTTTCCGCCTGAAAAGAAATGGATCTAATATTGGGATAGTTGGTATTTTATCCTCAGTTGACGTGGGAGTGTTGGTAACGTTCAGCCCTGGGTCAGTGGGTGCAGGTGTCTTTGTTCATTTCTTTGCCGGTAATTCCCGATAGCTTTGGCAACAAAGCATCGCTTGTTAAAAGCAGCTACAGCAGCTGCACCAACTCTCCCTTCCTCCCAGGACAATGGTGGACCAGTATATTTTTCTTTCTCGTTATCCTGCACTCCGAAAAGAAGCGATGGATTTGAGCGCATCAAAAGCACAACTTTCAGCCAGCCATTTTGTCTTCCCATGACAGGTACAGATCTTCTTTTTGGACCGACATCAACGTGTAAAATCAAAGTTGATGTCGAAATGTTTACACGCGAAAAGCAAAGTATTGAGTCTATTAAATACTGAATATATGTATGGATGGGAAGCCATGTTTCTAATAAAAGCCTTTAGTTTTTACTAAAAGTATTCCCTGAATTCTTTAACATCCACGGTGTTTCCTACTGGATACCAAAATGTCAGCGTCCTCTTTCTTTGTTTTTGTTTGTTTTTCCTTCTGGAGGACACAGATTTTGCTAAGACCCAAAATTTCAGCGACTGGGGTTTCCGGAGACCTGCAGCTCGGTTCTATCATTTTCACAATGAATACAGTGAGAGTAAATTCCCCATTAGTGGTAGTGACCACGGGTTTTATCCACAGGAAGGAAGGCAAGCAGAGAGGGAGGGAAGAAGGGAAATTTTCTCACGGGTTGAATCATTTTGTTAATTTTACGTTTAAGTGATTAAGCTTCCTTGTGTTTTTGGTGTAAAGTTTTAACATACCTATTCATTTTTCCTCCCAAGACTATGAACTCTCATTTCTGCTTTTTCCTCTCGCCTCAATTTGGATCCCACCTCCTCCTCCTCCACCCCACATCACAGGTAAAACAACAACAACAACGCCTTCAACACCCAATTAGTAGTTTCATTGGAATTGTGTTAAACTTACAAATTGACTTCGGGGAAATGCTGAGACAGAGCCTCACTTTGTGGCCTTCAGTAGAGAGCTGTGGTGTCACAGCTCACAGCAATCCCAAACTCTTGGGCGTAAGGGATTCTCTTGCTTCAGCTTCCCAAGTAGTTGGGATTACAAGCGCTGGCCACAGAGTACGGCTATTTTGTTGTTGATGTTGCAGTTGTCATTGTTTAGCTGGCCCCGGCTGGGTTCACCGCCTTTGGGGGTGTATGTGGCTGAGGCCCTACCCACTGAACTACGGGCCCTGCCCCTGAGTTTTCTTATGTTTAAGTATTTTGGCATACAAAAAGTTTCAAATTTCTTCTAAATATATATAATTAGCATTTCTTCTTATCTTTATTCCCAAAGATTTTCTTTTTTGTAGCTGTTGGAAATTACAACCTATGTATTTTAGGTTTCTTGAGGGCCACCATCTCATAAAGTACACTCTAAAGCTACTCCGTTATAGCAGATATATACATGAGTGAATTAACAATTCATAAAATAGTACTGTCTCAGCCAAGTAAAAGAAGCACAAATGCAAGCCATACGTGTAATTTTGAACCTTCTGGAAGGTACATAAATAAGGAAAAAAGAAACAGATGAAATCAATTTTAATAATGCACTTTATTTACCCAACTATATCCAAAATATTACTATTCAAAATAAAATCAATGTAAAAATATTTGGTAGATATTCTATATTCCTGTTTTTTTCCTTCATACACATACTAAGTACTTACAATCTTATATGTATCTTACACTTACAGTACATCTCAATTACAGCAGCTCATTTCAAGTACCACATGTGGCTCATGGAGATGATACCTATTGGGACAGTAAAAATCTGGAATGCTCTTTGGTGTCACCCTGGTCTACTCTGATCTCAAATTGTGATTCAATGCTAATGTTTCCTTAGCATGGTAGATTGATCCAGAAGTCACTGGGACAATTTGAACTAATCAAAAATTTTCTGTTCAGAAGCTATAATTGAGTTATGGAAGCTGAAGTCCTGATATCAGGGGGTGGAGGTTGCCTTCATGGACACCACATAGAAGAAACCAAAAGATCTCGTGGGCAGAAAGGGTAGAATGAAAAAAAGGTGCAAAGAAAAGTGGAGCTAAGAGATGTACAGACCTCCACTATCCAGCTTCCTGACATCCCTTTAGTTCCTTGTTCTTTGGGCCCTCTGAACTTTTGCCCAAGACCACCCCACTCACCTCAGGTTCCATCAAATTGCAGCAACTCGGATTGTACAAATACAGCCACTTGAAAGTTCACTTCACATTAACTTCAAAGTTAATGCTTTCAAGTCTACCCATTTACTTGATTTTTACATCACCTCCAAGAGTTAGGTAAGAGAAGAATTAATCCAAGAGAAGAGAGCTGATTTTCTAATTTTCTTTCAAGGCCCTTACGGGTCTCAATTTATTGGACTTATATACTTACCATTAATCTTGACATGGAATGTCACCTGTAAACCTATTTCCAATACATAAGAGATGTTCATTACTTTGAAATGAAATATATTGCTCAAGATTACAGACAGTTATAATGAAACCTGTAAAAATCTCCAGTGTTACTTTGCCTTTAGATCTAGTCTTTAATATGTTTCCTCAGTTTCATCCACCTTCTTTAGTTTTGTTGCATTCCCTCACAATTGTTCATATAGTTGACTGGCTTAGGTCTAAATGAGCAATTTATTTGAACCTAAAAATTGGCTATTTTAAGAAAAAAAAATTTCTGTCTCAGTTTTATTCATGGTAGTTTATAAAACTGTCAGATGGAAAACTTTGTTCTCTACTGTCTTAGGTTTACTAACTGAAGTCTTGCGAATTTAAATAACAAAGAACAAATTAATAAGATAAAAAATACATTTTATTATAACCGCAGAGCTCACACACACACACAAAAAAGGTGAATCTTAACAAGTAAACTCTCAGATTTATATACCATTCTAGCAAAGGAAAGGGTTTTGAGTTTCATGGGATGGTAAATTGTGGGGAAGTGTCTACGAAATATATGAGCAAATCTAATGGAGTTATTTTAGTAAGGTTTCCTTTTTCAGACTCATTTCAGTGCCAACTCACTATCTCTAGTGAGAATTGCTGTCTTCTTCCCAGTATAGGAGGCAAAGACATTTTAACAAGGGAAATTTACACCACCCTCAAAAAGGGGAAATGTATGTAGTACACCCTACCTTACATATGTTGATTCTCAATTGCCTTTAGCAGAAAATAATTCTTATAGCAAAGTGACACATTTTGGGTTAAAATCTAGGTTTCTTCAAGACGTATATTTTGGCTCAGCGCCTATGGCTCAAGTGGCTAAGGTGCCAGCCACATACACCTGAGCTGGCAAGTTTGAATCCAGCCAGGCCTGCCAAACAACAATGACAGCTGCAACCAAAAAAAAAAAAAAAATAGCTGGGTGTTTTGGTGGGCACTTGTACTCCCAGCTACTTGGGAGGCTGAGGCAAGAGAATCACTTAAGCCCAGGAGTTGGAGGTTGCTATGAGCTGTGTGACACCACAACACTCTACCCAGGGCGACAGCTTGAGGCTCTGTCTCAAAAAAAAAAAAAAAAAAGTATATTTTGTTTGAATTATTAATATTATTTTCAATTTTTATTTAGTTTTATAAAATCATATTGACAAACAGAAATACTATATTCAAATAATTCCCTCAAACACTACTGATTAGTGATAGGATCAAAACCTGCTCAAATAGGGCAGAAAAAACGAATGGGATGCCTAAAAGAATCCCATACCCTCCCCCATCGGATGTACCACCTGAGAAAGTTGGATGGGTTAGCCCCCTACCCTACCCCACCAGATGTCCCACCTGGGAAAGGTAAATGGGCCAACCCCCACTGTTACAACACATGTCCAACCCAGGAAAGGGAATGTCCCGACCCCAACCTTCTTGACCTTTAAATACCACCACCACCACCACCACCCCTGTTTGCCATTACCCACATGTGGATTTCTTCCAGTTGGAAATCCTAGCCCACCTATACCCAGGTGGAATAAAGCCATTTTAATTGCACAAACCAGGCCTCTATTTTCCTTTTGTCTTGCACCTTGGAATAATCTTTCATCTTTGGCTCTGTAACCTTTCACTTAGCAAAAAATGTCAATGATATTACATAAAGAGCTGGCTGATAATTCGACCATAAAAATTTATAAAATTGTTCATGTATGATAGAAGTGTGAATGATACAGGAGTCAAAGACTAGTCATAATGTAGCATTCCAAACTTTCTCACACAGTATTTTCATGGCTAAAAATTTAAATATCCTATTACTTCCCCTAGGCAAAGCTCTAAGGAGTTCATCTGTGTAAACCTGAGAGAGAAGTAAAAGGTGGCTTGTGGTTAAAATCCATGCCAAGGTTGAACAAGCCCAGTGCAAGACAGGGTTACATCATTAGAGGATTTCTGAAGGAAACAGGAATTTAAGGCACAGTGGCAACAACTTTGAGAGCCAACATTTCTTGAGCACTTATTTACAACATGCTAAGCATTGTTTCTAATGACTATATTTATTATCAAACACATTTTTGTCACCATATCTTGAGGTAGGTGCCATTATTTCTATTTTAGAGATAAAGAACTGAGGCTTGGTGACATTAAGGATGTAGGTGGTTGATTGCTAATCTGTGAGTCTATATAATTATCCTCCATATACTAGTGTTAGTCTTTGCAAATATAAGTACCACATATGTAATTTCAAAGTTTCTAGTAGCCACATTTTAAAAAATTAAAAAGGAAATAAGTGAAATCTATTTTAATATTTTTAACCCTGAAAAATCAGATACTGCTTCCACAAGTAATCTAATATAAAAACATTTAGTTTTTAATTTTTATTTTTGGTACTAAGTCTTTGATATCTACTTCATATTTTACACTTAAAGTACATATCAATTTGGACTGGCCACATTCCAAGATAGCCAGATATGGCTAGCAGTTACTATAGGGATCACAGTGAAACCTGACCTTTCCCCTTTTCTGGTTTGCTAAAAGATCAACTCACAACTATGATAGATTAATAAGAGAAAGGTTTATTTCCAAATACCATGTGTATAGGAGGAACCACAAGAATGATTTCCAAAGTCTCAGAGATGGTCAGTGTCTTTTAAAGATGCCTTTTAGAAATGAGGGAAGACTTAAAGTAGTAAGTAATTGCTAGGGGGAACAGTGCAGAGGGGTGGAAACAGATTGATTTGCAAATTAACCTAAGAGACCAGTATCAGTGCTTCTAATTGGAGCTAGGTCTATTAGCATGTGATAAGGAGGCCAGCAGCCTTTTCTGATTCTAAACCAGGTTACTCAGGTTTTATAGAGAGGTCAGTGCTTTTTGATCAATAATGGCCTTTTAATTTAAAATACTCTTTTTCAGATTGTATATAGAACCAGCACACTATACCCCATGACTGCATTAATGTACACAGCTATGGCTTGGCGCCTGTGGCTCAAGCGGCTAAGGTGCCAGCCACATACACCTAAGGTGGCGGGTTCGAATCCCCAGCCCAGGCCCGCCAAACAACAATGATGGTTGCAACCAAAAAATGGCCAGGCGTTGTGGCAGGCGCCTGTAGTCCCAGCTACTTGGGATGCTGAGGCAGGAGACTCGCTTGAGCCCAGGAGTTGGAGGTTGCTGTGAGCGTGATGCCATAGCACTCTACCCAGGGGGATAGCTTGAGGCTCCGTCTCAAAAAACAAAAAAAATGTCCACAGCTATGATTTAATAAAAAAATAAATAAATAAAATATTCTTTGCAAGGAATCATATTTTGGGGTGAAATTTCCTTAGCTCCTTCACTACCTTCTTGAGCAGTACAGCTCTTATACTGTGGGAAGACACACAAGCAAATACTTGCTCTAGAACAGAATCCAAATATTTCTAAGGAAACAATTTTTCTGACCTAGTCTGAAGCCTACAGAGCATCCCTAAGACTTGATATTTCATTGGCTTCACATCAGGCCCCTGACCAGAGGGAGTTTAACAGAACTTAGCCCATGCCAAATTACTACAACACTCTCCTAACCACCTAAGGCAGCCTAATTTCTGAAACAGTTAACTTTGAGGGGGAAACAATATCTGATAGTCTATTTTGGGGTAATCTTATCGATCAGATTTTAAGAGTGTGGATTTGGTGTGAGACTGCCTGCCTGGCTATATCATTTGCTACTAGTAAGAATTTGGCCAATTTACTAAAATTCCTTTGGCTGAAGTCCATCATCTATAAAATGGAGACTCAGGATTTGTCTTACAGTATTCTAGTAAGAATCATATGTAACAATTCAGACCAATCATGGAATACCATGGATGATAGCTACTAGGCTGACTCCTCTACTGAATCCATTGTTTTATTCTTCCTTCCTTCCATGAGGATCTCTCAAAGAAGGTGGTATTCAGTACAGGAGATATAAAACCTTGCAAAGTTGTCCCGGGAATTCACCTTGGCATCAAAAGTGCTCAAATAGTCTTCTCCCCCGCTCTCTCTCCTCCTCACTCTCCTCTTCACTCTCCTCTTCACATCTCCTCTTTTCTTTCCTCTTTGGTGCATCTCTGCAGCCTTCCTTCCCCACCAATAAAGACCTTTCGTACAAAAAAAAAAAGTGCTCAAATTGATGAAAATTGATGGAATATCCTCCTCTCTAAGCTTTCTTCTCTTGTTATCTCTGAGAACACCATCATCCAAAATATCATACAAAGCAGTATTCTGTTTCAGATGCCTGAGAGTTAATCTCAGACCAGTGATTCCCAACTCATACGTGCTCCTTGAGAGATACGTTTGAACAGAATGGTAGGATGAGAGGAAAGTCTATGTATAATCTGGAAAAGCATAGCCAGTGCTCACAGATTTATCTTGAAGCTAATAAGACTCAAATGTCTGTCAGGTCCTTTTCTTCCAAGGCCCTGGGCGGAGCTCTGTGGTATCTCTCTCTCTCTCCCCCTCTTTTAATTTGCCATGTTAAAGTATTTTAAACACAGATGGTTGTTTTATTTCCACTAGATCTTCTTCTATTACAATTCACTATTAATGATATTGGAAAAATGTTGAAGATACTGGGATTTGGGTAAATTTTAGATGTATTTAGGATAGAATTAATAAAGATTTGTATAAGTGTTCACGTGTAGTTCATTCATTGCTAGCCAATCTGATTTAAGAATAGCTTCAAAGAATACTTCCTTCTTTTCTTTCTTTCTTTCTTTCTTTCTTTCTTTCTTTCTTTCTTTCTTTCTTTTTTTTTTTTGAGACAGAGCCTCAAGCTATCCCCTTGGGTAGGGTGCTGTGGCATCACGGCTCACAGCAACCTCCAACTCCTGGGCTCAAGCAAGTCTCCTGCCTCAGCCTCCCAAGGAGCTGGTGATTCTCAACCACAGGTGCCCACCACAATGCCCGGCTATTTTTCGGTTGCAGCTGTCATTGTTGTTTGGCGAGGGGGCCTGGATTCGAACCTGCCACTTTAGGTGTAGGTGGCTGGCACTTTAGCCACTTAAGCCACAGGCACTGAGCCATTCAAACAATATTTCTACTGGGCACTGGAACAACTCACCTGGATTCCTGGAAAAATGAAGGGCTAGATAACATGTGACAACATCCAAATGTCCATAGTATCCACCCAGCACTTAAAGTGGTTGCATATAACAGAAATGTATGGAGCCAGAAGCTAGTCTAAGAATTTTCATACATTTTACAACTTGCAAATAAAGCTTAAAAGGAAACAATCCTAAAGATTTGACATTATCAATGTTTTCAAATTAAAAATCTACATTATGAAGAACATAAATTATGATCAGCCACCCTAGAGGAAATAAAGTATTACAAAAAATAATTTTCATCAGATGCAGAGTATTCAGTCCAAATCCTGTTTTAATGTTCAAGTTAGTACAAGTACTAATTTTTCTGAATTTTGTTATGGCTCGTCATACGCATAAATGCTGGTTATGGCTTTTTATACGCATAAATGCTATTTGACAAACTCAATTGAAAAAAAAATCCTTTATTAAGAGCGTTTTGGGCCTCCATTTCCTATACCTCTAGATATTAAAACGCACTAGAACAGCACTGTACGGAAAGATATCCATTACAGTACCTAACACTTGGAACAGGGACGGTGCAAGAGAGAACTTGATTTTAAGGTTAGTAGTGAATTGGCTTAAACTTAACAAATTTTGGAGGGGAGGGTCAACTTGAGTATATTAATGTCTAAAAATGTAAATACTAATAATTACTCCCAATGCAGCACTCATTACCCTCTGCAACGTAGAAGACTGTGGAACTCTTTTCAGTGAGCCTGTGGGTGGCTCTGAAAAGAGCCTTTTTCAGATAGAACTTAACAAGCTTGATTTATGCCCTTTCACCACGGATGCGACGTGCCAGCTGGATATCTTTAGGCATGATGGTGACTCTCTTGGCGTGGATGGCACACAGGTTGGTGTCCTCAAACAGGCCAACCAGATAGGCCTCACAAGCCTCCTGCAGAGCCATCACCGCTGAACTTTGGAACCGCAGGTCAGTTTTAAAGTCCTGCGCGATCTCACGCACCAGACGCTGAAAGGGCAGTTTGCGAATCAGCAGCTCGGTCGATTTTTGGTAACGACGAATCTCTCGCAGTGCCACAGTACCAGGCCGATAACGGTGAGGCTTTTTCACGCCGCCGGTGGCCGGAGCGCTCTTGCGTGCCGCCTTAGTGGCAAGCTGCTTACGCGGCGCTTTACCACCAGTGGACTTGCGAGCAGTTTGCTTAGTACGAGCCATTTGTACTGGTAAGAGACAAACCAGAACTCTGCTCTCCTCTCAGATTAGACTGTCTTTAAATATAGTTAGAAGCATTCTGATTGGTTCTGTAATATTTCAAAAGTCCCGCGCGATAAAATCATTGGTTTAAGAGTGACACCTAGTAGAGAATCTGATTGGATGAGTTGCTCCATCCGCCCTGCCTCAATCCTTTTTGTAAATCTTGAGAATAAAAATATCCTAAAGTTCTAGTTCATCCCGTCACCAAATAGTGTACGTAATTAAGTATTTAAGGATATAGTGTTAAAAATGTGAACTTATTCAGTACGTCTGAGTGGGACCTGAATTCCGCATTAACACGCCTGTGCTCGCTAGTTATAAATGCTGCCGGACTCCCACGGGAATGCCACAATATTCGCGTTTGTTGGACAATGTGTTTTGCTTAAATTCAGAATTTTAAGTAACTACTTTATTGGCTTGGAGCAACTTTTCTTGCCCTTTCTCCCCCCACGACCCAGCCCAAATGACATACTCGCCTTGCCCTTGTTCTGAAAATGTTTCCTTATGAGAGGATCTGTTTTTTTAGAACTCACAACAGTCAAGGTTTGTTGGTAATGCAAAGACAGGGTTTTTTTTAAAAAAAAAAAAGAAAAAAAGTACCGTAGCGTGACGTTATCAGCTTTCCTTGTGAAAATGTGGCTGGCTCTGAAAAGAGCCTTTTGATACGCAAGGAGTAAGTTTGAGCTATACTTTCTGGCTCACTTTGATTTTACTTGCCCTTGGCTTTATGGTGGCTCTCAGTTTTCTTCGGCAACAGCACCGCCTGAATATTGGGCAGGACACCACCCTGCGCGATAGTAACTTTGCCGAGTAGTTTGTTGAGCTCCTCGTCATTGCGGATAGCTAGCTGCAAGTGGCGAGGAATGATGCGAGTCTTCTTGTTGTCACGGGCAGCGTTGCCTGCCAGTTCCAAGATCTCAGCAGTCAGATACTCTAGCACTGCTGCTAGGTATACTGGCGCGCCGGCCCCAACGCGCTCGGAGTAATTGCCCTTGCGAAGAAGACGGTGAACTCTTCCCACGGGAAACTGCAAGCCGGCTCTGGATGACCGAGTCTTGGCCTTAGCTCGAGTTTTACCTCCCTGTTTCCCACGACCAGACATGGTGATGCAATAGTTACAGCAAAAACTTGGGAAAAGTGAAAGGAAATGTTTTTATAGACCAGGTAGGTCTGCAATAGAAAGCTATCCTATTGGTCGAATGAAGTTTGCTTTTTTGTCCAATAGAAGAAGGTTACGTCACACTTTATTTGCATAAACACCTCCCCTTAGCGAACGAGAATTCTCTCTATCCAATGAGAAACGACAAATCTTGAACCCTCATTTAAATTGTTGGACTATAAATACTCGAGCTCTGGGACGTTTCTCAACTTTTTGTGGCGAATTTGTGGTAGTTTATATGGTGTGGGGAGGGTGTCCGAGCCCTGTTAAGTCTTCCCCAATTCACTTTTAAGGCGATGTAAGAAAACAAGTAAAACTGTAAGCGTCAGCTGCAAGGAAGTTATTTTATTTAGATGTGTAACGTGCTGAAGCAAGTCTCTCCAGACCCTGGTTATCTTATCTAAAACTGGCGTCCGTTGAACTCATTTCTGATTATTTTGGGGGTACTGCGGGGAGGGGCGGGGAACATCTCACCTGGCAAGGTACAACAAGCAGGTCATCAGCCTCATTTCCAGAGAGATCCCAGCTTGCTCTTGCCTGGCAAACTAGCTAAACTGTGGACCCAAAGCTGTTACTGGGCACACTAGTTCTGAGTAAATACTATGAGACTCACTAATCCGGGTCGGCGCCTGTGGCTCAAGTGGCTAAGGCATCAGCCACATACACCTGAGCTGGGAGGTTCGAATCCAGCCCAGGCCACCAAAAACAACAATGACGGCTGCAACCCAAAAATAGCCGGGCGTTGTGTTGGGCACCTGTGGTCCCGGCTACCTGGGAGGCTGAGGCAGAAGACTTGCTTGAGCCCAGGAGTTGCAGGTTGCTGTGAACTGTGATGCTAGGGCACTCTACCCAGGGGGACAGCTTGAGGCTCTGTCTCAAAAATAAAAAATAAATAAAAATAAATTAGCAAATAAATAAAAATAAAAGACTCACTAATCCAAAAACTTATTTTCAGAGCCCCCCCTTTGTTGAAAGAGTTACAATGTTCGTGTTTATACTGCTTGACGTATAAATGAAAAAACTTGTTAATGTGGCAAATTTGGAGCTGAGGTTAGAGAAAGATTTGCAGAGTCATTTGATTTAAAGCAATACGCACCCAAGAGACTGATTTTTCAAATTCATTTACTTAACGTACTTCCATGTTGCCATTGGGTACTCATTCAATTACTCTGATGTCCCTAGTCCCCATCCTCACCCAACGCTATTCTGGTACGGATTATGTATGATTCTTAGCTAGGTAATAGAGCAGTTAAAGGATTTCAGAGGCATGGAGCTTTTGTTGTGGTCATTAGCCATACTCCTCTTGCAGGGCGTTGGAGGATTATGAAGACCGGAGCTTTGGTGGCTGGAACACACTGTAGGGATTTCTTTCTTTCTTTCTTTTTTTTTTTTCCGGAGCTTGAACTCACTTTTATTCTGGCCTCAAACATTGAGGAAACAGCAGAAGTGTTAAGTCTTTAAAGTCTCCCTGGCACCTCTATGTGGTATACCCCCAGCTCTTTTTGAGCTCCTTTAATTTGGGGTTATACTTGTTTATCGATGACAACAGCTACATAGCATTTAAATTTTTCATGCATCCCAGACTCTTTTCCTGGGCTTTTTACCAGTCGCGCTTTCAGCTAAAATGGGGCTTGGATTTTAAAAGTCTGGGAGGGAAAGGGGGTTTGAATATCTCATCCTTTCCTATCTGGTCCCAACTCATACCTGACTGGGAGGGACCCAGTTGAAGAAGGAGACACATGGGTTTTCTACAGCAGACCTTTGTGGAAAGATCTGGGACTCTAAAAATGTAATTGAGGAGGAGTTGTCACTAAGAGAACATGTTTAGTCCTTAAATAAGTGTTGTGTCTGTTATTTTTGGCACATGGTTTCTGATAAGAAATGGATTTTCTCTGAAAGGTAAGGTTTTTCCGTTTTTTTGGTTTGTTTTGCTGCTTTCAAGATTTTTGTCTTTATCTTTCATATATCTTAGCATGAGTTTCTTTGGGGCTTATTCTATATCTATATCTATATATATAAAGCTTACTGATTTCGTGGGCTTATGTCTTGTCAAATCTAGGATATTTTCAGCCATTATTCTTTCAATATTTTTTCAATACTACTCTCTTTCTTTTATTCTTCTGAAGCTTTACAAACATGAATATTAGGTATTTTGTTATAGCCCAAGATACAAGAGGTAAAAAGATAACCCAGGGAGCACATAATAATTGTTCCTCAGATCTCAAGGTTCATAGCCATCATAGCCAGCTTGCCTTTTTCTCTCAATCTTTCATATTTTCACAGTTTTGTTTGGTTTGGTTTGGGTGGGTGGGTATTTGTTTGAGACAGGGTCTCTGTTGCCTAGGCTAGAGTGCAGTCTCTCAATGCAACTTCCAATACCTGGGCTCAAGGGATTCTCCCTCCTTTGCCTCCCAATGTGTTAGAATTACAGGCTCACGGCGTGCCTGTGGTTCAGTGGGTAGGGCGCCGGCCCCATATACTGAGAGTGGTGGGTTCAAACCCAGCCCGGGGCCAAACAGAAAAAAAAATAGCCGGGCATTGTGGCGGGCACCTGTAGTCCCAACTACTTGAAAGGCTGAGGCCAGAGAATTGCCTAAGCCCAGAAGTTGGACGTTGCTGTGAGCTGTGCGACGCTACAGCACTCTACAGAGAGCAATAAAGTGAGACTCTGTCTCTACAAAAAAAATAAAAAGAATTACAGGCTCAATCACCTTGCCTTGGCCTCACAGTCTTACTATGTTTATTTTATAAATAATGTCAACAGTTTTTAGCTGTGCTTAGCAGAAAGAATAGAGAAGTGTGCCTACTCTATCTTGTTTCAGAACTAGAAGTTTTTAAACATTTGAAATAAAATTTTTTTTTTTTTTTGGAAACAGAGCCTCAAGCTATCCCCCTGGGTAGAGTGCTGTGGCATCACAGCTCACAGCAACCTCCAACTCCTGGGCTCCAGGGAGTTTCCTGCCTCAGCCTCCCAAGTAGCCAGGGCCACTCACCACAACGCCCTGCTATTTTTTGGTTGCAGCCATCATTGTTGTTTTGATGAGCCCGGGCTGGATTCGAACCTACCACCTTAGGTGTATGTGGCTGGCGCCTTAGCCACTTAAGCCACAGGTGCCGAACTTGGAATAATTATTATTTGTTTCTATGTGATGATATCAGAAAGTAGATTTCCAACTAATATTTTCAAACTGATTTCCCCAAAGAACACATCATGGGTCTAAATATAACTTTGTACTCAGTACATTCTTAAAATGTTTATAATCATAAATAGTGTTTTTTTTAAGTACTGAAAATATTGCATCTGGATGTATTAGAATTTGTCAGATAAATACAACTTACAGATCAAAAAAAAAAGTGTAGTGACCCCCTAAAACTTTACTGAAAAATCACTGACAGGCAGATTGATAATAGGAGAAACGTGGAAATGTTTTTAACATGTATACATAGGAATCTTCAGAATGAAGACACAAAAAATAAGAGAAATTGTCCATTGTTATGTCTAAGTTCAAAAAAGTACAGACAGCCATGTAGAAATATGATTTACAAATAGGATATGATCTAATGCTGACAGGCTGAATGGGGAACCCAGCAAGGCCTGTTGTCTAAATTGTTTGGCCTCTCTGGAGGAGGGGAGGAGGAGTTGTCTTACTGGCATACAGTCAAACTGGGTATGTCTGATAATTTATGGTGTTTTTAAATGGAATAATTTTAAATTTTATGGCTGGCTTTCAGGAAAAGGAATTCTGACTTTCATGACTCACCCTGAGGAAAAGGGATTCTACTTTGTTTGACTAGCCTCAGGAAAGAATGGGACTGAGAGGCAAGAAGACCTGAAGGTCAGAGAACTTTGCTTCCAAGGCTTTCATTTTGGGTACTGTTTTCTGAGTCTCATCAAAGATCAACTAGAACTGTCTTTGAAGATATGTTATGATTGTTAACCTATTTCAAACTGACTGTTTTTAATCAATGTTCTATAAGGTGTTTAAGATAAACAATGAGTAGCTGCTGAATAAATTAAGAAATTAAAAGTATGGTTCTAACTCTGTTACAGTGTTCAGGTGAGTGACAGAGTCTGATCTTGAACACATTAACTCAAAACATGTAGAATCTTATAAATACTTTTATTTTGTCATTGCAAAGCAAATTTATATTTATCTACCTATGTGCTATGGTTTTGAACGGGAGTCTTAGGGAAACTTGCTCTTTTCCCCTACTTTAGTTCGCTGAAAAGATCAACTTACAGTTATAGTATATTAATAAGAGAAACGTTTATTTCAAAATACCATGCACATGGGGGAAAATCACAAGAATGATTTCCCAAAGTTTTAGTGATAGTCAGTGGCTTTTAAATATGCCTTTTAGAAAGGAGGGGAAAGATAAACTGGAAAGTATACCTATAGCAAGTGGTTGCTAAAGGGGGATGGGTGGATGGAGGGAAACAGATTGATAAGCAAATTAACCTGACATACAGGTATGGTGCTTCAAATGACCTTATCGCAGGTCTCTTAGCAAGTGATAAGGAGTCTAGCAGCCCTTTAAGATTGAGGAAAGTCTTCTTTCAATGTTTCCTGATTATGAATAGCCTTTAATTCAAAATAATCTTTATACCAAGGAATCATATTTTAGGGTGAAATTTTCTCAGCTCCTTAATTCACAATGTGTCTCGAAAATTGCATGTGTTGGGATATTAATCCCCAAATTCATGTATTTATTTGAGGTAGGGATACTGAGACGTAATTAGGATTAAATAATGTGTCATCAGAGTGAGGCCTCCATGATGGGACTGGTAGCTTTATCAGAAGAGGAAGAGAGATACGAACTAATGAGCACCTTCCTCCTCCCTCATCATTTTGTGAAGCAGTAAGAACTGCTCACCAGATGCTACTGTCATGCTTTTGGACCTCCAAGCCTCCAGAACTATAGAAAATAAATTTCTTTACACA